GGAGTAACTGTTTGGGACTTATTACGAAAAGCAGGTGCGAGGGTAGTACAAGAACACTAAATTTCAAATGAGCCAACTTTTCTAAACTGCACTCGATACTACAAGATATTAAATGGGATCAAATCCTAGAACACAGAGGAAAAATGGGAGTGCTTTAGGAAGATATTAAATAAAGGTATTATCCAGTACATTCCAATGGGCAATAAATATAGAAGAGCTAAGGGTAAACCTGGGTGGCTAAACCATAATGTAAAAAGTAAAATTAAAGAGAAAAAAAGGCCTTTAAAAAATATAAAGCCAGAGAGCGCATGCGCGGCTGGCTGGATTGGATGCTGTGAACACCACTCCGCACCTTCCCGGAGCATTAGGTGGGACATGCGGCACTTCCTGCCCTCGTTTTACCAGCCCGCTCACCCGATCAGCTTGAGGAGTAGGTGGGGGACCTCTGATGCCCACCCAGCCGGCTGGAAGATCGGCGGGCGGCGCCTGCACTGCCGCTGTAAGGAAAGGATGTCGATGTTTCTTTTTTCGCCAGAAAATTCGATAAACGAACCGTCTATGGCCTGCAATACCACCTGGAGAGTATTGAAAATAAAGTTGATACTGTCCACAGAGTGTCGCAGAATTCTACCAAGATTGAGGACTTACAAGATCGCCTTGAGGAAGCTTATACAAAGATAGATGACCTTGAGAATCTGCCCGCCGCTACATCTTTAGAATTAGAGGTCTACCAGAAATAGTTAAAGACAGGGCTTTCTTTCTGCCGGAACGCGGCGGTACTGCGTTCCGCCACCTTTTTCTTCTTGTCCCCGCTCACCGACTGCCTCTGCAGAGCTGACAAGCTATGCAGAGCAGCGAAAGTGACAGGTGCCGGACGCGGCTTGTTTATGTCATGCTTGCGCGTGCCCGGCACCTGTCACTGCCGCTGCTCACAGCCGGTGAGCGGGGACATGCACGCTTCACCCCCCCCCCCTCTACCGCCAGCGTGTAAAACATCGGGGGCGCGGACGATGGGCGAGGACACTATGCACGCTTCACCGCCCCCCCCCCGCCGGCGTGTAAACATCGGGGGCGGCGCGGCGACATCAACGGCAGTGACAGCGTGGACGCAGGGGCCGTACAGCTTGGAGTAGGTAAGCTGCGCTCGGCTCCCTGTCACTGACTGCAGTATCATGTATTGCTCTAAATTTTTACTCTCTCCCCAGCCTGTGCCCACCTAAACTATCCCAACCACCTGTGCCCACCTAAACTATCTGAGCCCACCTAAACTATCCTCACCCACCTGAGCCCACCTAAACTATTTCAGAACGCAATTGCTCAGCGCTCAGCGGCGCCGATCGAGAGCGCCCCTCCTGTGCATGAGGAACAGGAAAGATAAATTCAGTGATGGACGGTATTTTTTGGAGGAAAAGGTGGCAACCCTAGGGGAGCCTGTAGGAGCAGGCACATCTACCAGACAGGGTACACATGCATGCTAGACTGATTTTATATCTATGCTGGACGTTTACAAACGGCCTGCCATGATTTTATATCTATGCATGTGTTCCTGGTGTCAGTACGGTACTGATTTTATATCTATGCGTGTGTTTCTGGTGTCAGTACGGTACTGATTTTATATCTATGCATGTGTTTTCTGGTGTCAGTACGGTACTGATTTTATATCTATGCGTGTGTTTCTGGTGTCAGTACGGTACTGATTTTATATCTATGCATGTGTTTCTGGTGTCAGTACATTAGTCATTTTATATCTATGCATGTGTTTCTGGTGTCAGTACGGTACTGATTTTATATCTATGCGTGTGTTTCTGGTGTCAGTACGGTATTCATTTTATATCTATGCATGTGTTTCTGGTGTCAGTACATTAGTCATTTTATATCTATGCATGTGTTTCTGGTGTCAGTACATTAGTCATTTTATATCTATGCATGTGTTTCATGCAGATCATGCAAGAGGCAGCCGGGGGTCCGATGACATCATTTCCCTTATATGGTATGTACGGGAAATGATGTCATCGGAAGCCCCTCCCAAATTTTACTTGCATTCCTGTTCTCTAAAGGGGTGGTCCTAGGGTTTGATGGGGGCGTGGCCAGGTTTGGGTGGGGGAGTTCCACCACCTTTCCTCTGAGAAAAAAAGCCCTGGTTAAAGATATTGCTACATTTTCCCACTGCCTCATCTTGTCAGCGGTTCCGGATACTGACAAAATTCACACAGAGCTTGACTGCATCCATAGAGCTCTGGTCCCCTTAAAGCCTGATGGACCCCACGAGATGTAATTGTCAAGCCTCACTTCAGAATTAAGGAAGCAGTGATGCGCTATGCCAGGGAACATCCCGATTTGGAAATCAACAGACATAAGATTTTGCTGACACTTTAGGCCTGGTAGGACTTTTAAGGGGAACCCCACCTTCCACAAAACGGGGAAAAAGTGCGAGGGGCTCCCTGTAAAAGCCATACCAGGACTTTCAAGGGGAACCCCACCCCCAAAAAAAATGGGGGGGAAAAGTGTTCGGGACCATAAGTGAAAAATATCGAACCCATCCCTAAAAAGGAGGGGTATAACAGGGATGACTGTATTGTTAGTAAGACACAACAGGATGTACCCTTGTGGCTAACAGGCTGTGTCCAAAAAAGACTAGAAAAGCTTCACACAAATAAATCAGGACCGGGTGGCTTACACCTGAGAGAACTTAGGTTATAGCCAAGCTGTTATTCCTAATTTTTATCAACAGCATACTGAAAGGAATGGTACCAACTGACTGGCGAAAAGCCCACGTGGTACCAATATTCAAAAGGGGCAGAGATATATTCCTGGAAACTACAGGCCTGTCAATCTAACATCAATGCATGTAAACTATTTTGAGGGGATGATAAGGGACTATATGCAAAAATTTGCTGAGGAAAATGGTATCATTAGATTTAATCAGCGTGGGTTTATGAAAAGCTGTTCTTGCCAAACAACCTGTTAACATTGTACGTGGAAGTGAGCTGCCATCTAGATAAAGGAAGGCCTGTAGATGCGGTGTTTCTGGATTTTGCAAAAGCTTTTGATATAGTCCCCCATAGAAGTTTAAATTACAAACTGAGGTCTGTAGGTGTGACCATAGGTTTCTTCTTGGATAGAAAACTGGTTACAGGGGCATGTCCAAAGGAGGTGATAAATAGCATGTGCTCAGAGTGGTCTGGAATGGTAAGTAAGGCTCTATCCTGAGACCAAATTCTGTTTAATTTAACCATAAACGATATAGAGGCTGGAATTAATACCTCAGTCTCAGTGTTCTTCACAGCAGCATATAGAAACGTTACAAGAAGACAATAAAATAATGGAATGGGCAACTACATGGTAAATGAGATTTAATGTTGAAAAATGTAAAGTACTGCACTTGGGAACTAAAAAATATGAACGCAAGTTACATGCTAGGGGGAGAACCTCTGGGGGAATCCAGGATATAGAAAGATCTGGGGGTTCTAGTAGATCACAGGCTCAGCAAATGGCATGCAATGCCAAACTGCAGCAAGCAGGATATTAGCATGCATTAAAAAGGGGATTTACTCCAGAGATAAAATGATAATCCTGCTACTTTATAAAACTCTGGCCACATCTGGGGTATTCCATCCAGTTCTGGTCACTAATCCTTAGGAAGGATGTGCTGCAACTGAAGGGAGTCTAGATAAGGGCAACAAAATAAGGGGACTGGAGGACCTTAGTTAAGAGGAAAGACTACAAGTACTAAACTTATTCTCCCTGGAGAAGAGACGCTTGAGAGGAGATATCAGAACAGTATACAAATACCTAAATAGTGATCCCAGTGTAGGCAGTAAATTATTCAGTCTCCGGTAGTATAAGAAGACATGGAGACACTCAATGAAATTGGAGGAGAAGTGGTTTAACCTTAAAGTGGTTGTAAACCCGAATGCTGAATACTGTCATCCATAAATACCTTTGAGTGCTCTGTGTCTGATCGCCTCTTTGTGAAGTTTTTCTGTCACTTAATTTTTGAGATGTAGCCCTCCAAAGTTGTTCCTTTCTGTGGGCGTGGTGGCAGTCCGGAGCTTGAGAGGCATAGTAGTGATGTCACCGGAATCCCCTCTACACTCTACACGCCCTCATCCTCGTGCTCATCCATGGCATAGTGGTGCACACTGTGGGAGTGCTGCCTACGTCCCCTGACGAGTTCTGTCCAATCAAACACCTGGATCCCCACCATCTCCCCTTCCACAATGCTGAGGGACAGCTGCAAATCAAGGTGCAGCAGGAGGAGGAGGAGAGAGAGAGAAAGATCTGTGCATGAGTGCACAGGAGACATGGACACTTCTCGTGCTAGTGCATGAAAAGTATTATGTAGGCTGTCAATCAAAGGAGAGGGAGTGTGGCAACACCAATTTATGGCCTGTGACAGTTTTGTTCAATGAGGGACAAAGGAAAATAGCAGAAGGGGGGTATGCATTGTCCTGCTGTGCAAATTATTATTATTATAGAGTATTTATATAGCGCCAAAGGGTTTGCTCAGCGCGCTGTACATTAGAATGGGTAATGTGATTATCTAAATTATATTTTTGGGGTTTACAACCACTTTCAGCTGTGCAAGGGGTTTTTCAGTGCTAGGGCTGCTAGGATATGGACCTCCCTTCCACAATTGGTGGTGTCAGCAGAAAGTATTGATAGTTTAAATTACTGTTGGACATGCATCTTAGTGAACACAGTATACATAGATATAGGAAATGCTTCACACATCCCACACAGGTTGCACTGGATGGAATAGTGTCTTTATTCAACCTTACCAACTATGTAACTATGTAAAATCTTTGCAGGGTGCAACTGAGAGTGGCATTGTTACAGCATGACAGCTCAGGGTGAGAGTGGCCAGTCCTTTGCAACGAGCTGGTGAAAAGGCAGGGGTGAGGCACCGCGATTGTCACACCTTGTGCTTAGCGTTTCCTGGTACAGTGCTTCATGTGGTCAGGACAGAGCATTTTCTGTGCCCATAATGTCCCTTACAGAGTGCAGAATGTGCTCAAAAACATCCTGGTGTCAAACTGGCGGCCCTCCAGCTGTTGCGAAACTACAAGTCCCATCATTTCCTTGCCTTTGGGAGTCATGCTTGTAACTGTCAATCTTGCAATGCCTCATGGGACTTGTAGTTTGGTAACAGCTGGAGGGCTGCCAGTTTGACACCCGTGTGTTAGAGAATCCCATGTGTTCAGTATACAGCTTGCAGCGGGTGTCTACCTTTCAGCATCTCCTTATTGCATGTATATATCTGACAGTAATTCCGTAGGCCAGCTTCTTGGGCACCATGTTTGATACACCTAAGAGCCATTTTTCCATAGAACTTTCTTGACAAATATTTAACATGGTTGACTGCTAGGTCTTTCCTCAATTGTTCTCCAATTGCTCGGCTTGGTCCTGGCATGCAGAATGTGATAACACACATACATAGGCAATTTGTTTACATATACTAAGGTCAATTTACACCTACTAGCATGTCTGTGGAATGTGGAAGTAAACTGGAGGAAACACACGCAAACCTAAGAAGGACTTTCTAAACTCTTTGCAGATAGTGTGCTAACATTAAAATCAAGGACCCCAATGCTGCATGACATAAGTGCTAACCATTGAGCCAATGTGCTGCCCATCTCCTTAATGCAATGCTTCAAATGCTCAGCATGCCCCTTCCAGAAAATCTTATATGTTAACCTCCTCGGCGGTATGATTCTTCCCGATTTTTTGTGCTGAAACGCGGTACCATTATTTTGCATGGAAATATGTAGTTTTTTATTGTAGGCTGTAATATTTAGGAATAACTCACTGAAATCTGTACGAATAAGAGTCTAGTAAACATTCCGGATATGATAAAACTTGAAACACGAAATCATAAATTATAATTTAATAAATAATCATAAAAAATAATAATATAATAATAATACATTTAATTCAATAATATAATCAAACCAAAAACACTGAAATTTGAAATACAGAGGCAAATTCACACATCGCTGAGCAAAGTCGCAAAATCGTTTTCAGTGTCTGATGACGAATTTCCCCACGAATCATTATCACTCAATTCTGCAAGTGGTTCTGATTTACTATCACTGTTCTCTAGCTGGTCTAAAACCGCTTTTGAGATAAAGGGACGCTTTTTGGATGCCATAGACTTTTCTAAGTTTCCAGGCAGAAAGAACAGTCAAAATGCAGGCAGGGCACAGGACAAAGCAGTAGGGACAAAATGTATGTGAAATGTATTGAAACAGCAATTACAGCAAAATGAATTTTTTTTAAATTTCAAATTTGCCGCCGGTTCCGGCACCCGTACGTCCCGACATTACAGGGACCGGAACACGGAAGCCGATGCCGGCATTGGGCGGAGGAGATGGCCGGGGACGCTGCAGGGGGCACATAGCGGGAGCGAAGGACAAGGTAAGAGCTGCAGGGACTCCCTGAGCAACGCCGCATGGTAAGCCCGAGTGTAGCTCGGGGTTACTGCTTTTGGTACTCAAATTTTACCCTGAGCTACACTCGGGAATACCGCTAAGGAGGTTAAGTGTGATCCTGGACATATTACAGAAGGGGATGTACTATATGTTCCAATCCTAGTTTTTCCTGGCTGCATGACAATAATACTTTTTACCACACAGATGTTATTGCTGCAACTCCTGCTGCCATCCTGCAAATCAGAACTTGTAAGAAACACATGTGGTACAGTTTTTAAGAAAGAGTGTTGCTAAAAAGCCATATAGTATAGCTTAAAGCAGTAGTAAACCAAAAAACTAACATTTAGTATATTACAGCTTCCCAATTCTTAAATGTGGTGGCTGCATTAGTTTTTCTTTTTAGTCTTTTTTTTTCTTCTGTTTTCATCTGGTCGTCCAGCCAATAAGTCTGTTGTTTTTCAAAAGAACAAATTCTCTTCCAGATGTATCAGTTAACAGGGATGGAACTAACCATTCAACACTGGCAGGGGTTCTTAAAATGATCAGCTTGTAGTTATTTATGGAAAACCTTCATCCCAAAAGGGGAAAAAAACTGTTTGCTGTAACTGGATATAAAGTGTTAGAGTTTGGCTTTAATTTGTTGGTGTATTTAAATCTTCTAGTCCATCTAACACTCCCCTCCTCCCAGACTGACAATGCTGCTGTCCAAAGGTGCTCCTTAATGCAGAGTGGGGGGACACTCTAATACAGGAGGTGTGTTACTGGCCAAATCACCAGGTGAAAACACTGGGGAAAAAGCCTAAAAAGATAAAACTAAGGGATCATGTACTCTGCAGCTCCTAAACTGACATTCAGGAGCTGTTCAGTGGTTTTTTTTTTTAGCAGCCCCTGAATGCTCCCTAATGTTTTCCTATGTATCCATGTACACATAGTCATGTACAGTAATTTACAGGCAATTGAGTTTACAGTAGTTTTTTTGAACGCACCAAACTTGCATTCAGGAGTAGATTTTACTGATGTTTCAAATGCCAAACGTGCGTAAACGTGGTTAACGACGTTTAGAAGCGTTTTTTTAACTGTTCCATGTCCAGATGCTGTCCAGAGCCTTTTTTCATCATCAGAAATGCATGCAAAGCGTTTTCCATGAATTCAAATGGGCCCAGTATACCAGCGCAGCCAGTTCCAGGTTTCGCATGAAGGAAAAAATGGTAGAACATGCTGCATTATGCTCATGATGGGATCCATAGTGAATACAACCAGAAAAGACAGGTCATCTCAACACATACTGCTCTCTCTGCTTCTGCTCTCTCTATTCCTCTTAAAATGTCTGAAATAGTTATTTACTATTTTTCAGTGCATTCTGGGCATTTGGGAAGGTCTCTTGAGGTTATCTTTTAAAAACGCTTCTAAATACAAACGCATATAAACGCACCTAAACGCGGTATGCAAACGTGGCTAAACTGGCGTTTTTTAACCTAAGTTTTCCAGCAGTCAGTTTCCATCGTTCACAAGAGTTTTCCAAATGCCCCGTGTACATGAGCCCTAATGCAGCCACCACGTCTAATGATTGTTAAGCTGCAATATATAAACTTTTTTGTTTTATAATGCATAAAGCATGGTAAATAGAGTCTGTTTGGGGAAACTTTTTTTTTATCACAGAATTTTTAATTTAATATTAAGGTAACATAGGTAACAAGATGTCCTACCTGCAGCTAGCTTTTGCCATGTAACCACCTGCTTCCATGTTCAAAGAGATTGTCAGAACGCTGTAGACATATTACAGGAGACTGTCAGGCAGTACATTAAAAAAATACAATGAAAGTCAAATTAGTTTGCTGAACCAGGTAGCAGAGTAGCCAAGGTGGCTGGCAACAATATAGGGACTACAAAACTGACACATATGCGTGGTGATACAATCAGATAGGTGCTGCCAGGGGATTCTGCACTGCAGAGCTGTGCATTGGAAGCAGCTGAAGGCTGGCACAAATCACACTGATGCTTTCCATGCATCCCCTGTGCTTTGTCATGCGTTGCCAAACAACGTGCTGAAATGTAGAAATGCACTGGGAAACATCACTGGCCTCTATGATGCCTTCCTTGCTTCACTGTTTTACAGTGAAACAATGTGATAGCACCTCTCTTCTTGGCTCTCTTCATAATAAAGTAAATGACATCATGCTCTGGGGATGCTAAAACCTTTTCCCAAAGGTATTCAAGCGCTGGCATGCCTCCCCCCAGCACTTGCTCCTACCTGAATAGATAAGTTATACACCTGGTAAAGATCATGCATTTCTGGTATGCGCCCTTCAGCAATATCTATCAGTACCCACACAGCAGCCATAATTCCATTTGGAGAGTGCTTGTAACAGAAGAAACTTATACACGGTGTAGTGCAACCTGTGGAAGTTTTCATAAACCACTCATGTGGGGAGTCCAATTGTACAGAAAATGTATCCAAAGGTATCCGTTATCACAGTCACTCTACTCTTTATCAGCGATTTCAGTATTGTATGTAGTGTGACATCAAAATACGAATTAAATCATATGTCACTACATCCGAATACTATTAGTACATAGATCCCTGCTACCCAGCCTGTGGCTCTTGGCGCTTTTTGTTTGACCCTCTGGCCCCTGCAGACAATAGTCTGTGTGTTTACCTTATGTATAGTGAAGGAAATAATTATTTGATCCCCTGCTGATTTTGAATGTTTGCCCACTCACAAAGAAATGATCAGTCTAAATATCGAATGGTAGGTGTATTGTAACACGGAGGGACAGAATAGCAACAAAATTTCAGAAGAAATGCATGTCTAACAAATGATGCACTGATGTGCATGTTCATGAGGGAAATAAGTATTTGATCTCCTTCACAAAACATGACTTAGTACTTGGTGGCAAATCCCTTGTTGGGAATCACAGAAGTCAGATGTTTCCTGTAGTTGGCCACCAGGTTTGCACACATCTCAGGAGGGATTTTGGCCCACTCCTCTTGGCAGATCCTCTCCAAGTCATTAAGGTTTGGTGGCTGACGTTTGTCAACTCGAACTTTCAGCTCTCTCCACAGATTTTCAATCGGATTAAGGTCTGGAGACTGGCTAGACCACTCCAGGACCTTAATGTGCTTCTTCTTGAGTTTGGCTGGCCATAAAGCCAAAGATTTTTTTTGTTCAGCCTGCAGGCTTAAATGAAAGAAATCCAACAAATTTCTCCGGACATGCTAACAGCACAGATCTCCCGCTTCAGCGGCACCAGCTGTCAGAATATCCTAATGCTCCTGGATTTGATTGGATATAAGAGCTGTTTGGTCAACAAAGTCCTGCCCAGCTTCTTTTATTTTTCAGTTGAAGTTTGTCAGTCATAATGATGCAAACAAGTTACTATTACTAGCAAGGCACACAGTGAATGACAAAAGTGATTTTTCCCTCCTGTTAGCTGGGTGTCTCATCATACAGCGGAAGCAAACAAATGTTACATCACTTCCAGTTTCAACACAAAACATGTCACTTTCAGTCCTCATGCACACTGGACATTTTTACAGCGGCTGTTTTTGGCTTTTGCCGTTTTTTTTCTATAGCCAGTAAACTCCCCAGCATGTTTATCCTATGTGTCCAAGCACACATAGACTGTAATCGTTTTTTGGCTGGAAAAAAAAAAAAAACAGAACTAGTGGGTGTCTAGAGGAGTTTTTTTTAGCTGTAAAAATGCTCCAACGCTGAAAAAACACGTCAAAACGCGGTAAAATGCTGCAATCCAGCATTTT